TGCTTGTCTAGCATGTGTGAGACCCTGAATTCAAACTTCAGTACCTCAAACAAAAGAGAAAAGAGAAAAGAGAAAAGGAAGAGGGTGTCACAGGAGTTGGGCATAAAGATGTAAGGATCTGTTATATATTAAAGAATAATAAAATGACTTTTTTACTACGTTTCCTATACCCAGGTTAATTTTACACTTTTAAGAAGAAAATGTGGTTAGAGTTTTTATTAAATGATTACTTTTTTTTTGAAGAAGCACTTCTTCCCTGCAGAACTTACATTATCTGTGGAGAATTCTTGATCCAGCCCGTTTAATACCCATGAACTCATGAACTCATGAGCTCACATCACTCTGTCCTTGAACTGTAGAGAAATAAAGGGAAAATTATATAACTGTATCTGATAATTAACAGTCATGTCAAATTTGACAGTCATGTTTATTACTAAAAAATAAATTACAGAAATATCAATATAGACCTGCATGTATTTGTAACTAGAGTTTATTTATAGGTTATCTTCATAAAGCTTAAAAGGCTGCCTGACTCTTTGATGTGGCCTGTGAATATCGAGTACTGAAAAGCCACGGGTGTTCTTCCAAATTTAGAAACTCATTTTGGAGATAGATCAGAGAATAATTTCAAGTGTATAATTTCCTCAAGTGAAATGAAGCATCCTGACATGCCTTCAAATAGACTCCAGGAAATGTAGAGTCCATGCCTTTTCTCTGATAAAGGGAGTGTCATTATTTGCAGCTAATAATTGGCCAGAACTTCAATGCTGCAGCAAGTCAGTTTGTCAACAAGTTCTATTCAGACCTTTGAATTATCTGAGATTATTAGAATAGGCCTAGCATAGCTCTATGGGGAAGAAAATACTTTCAAGCAAAATCAACTCAGAATATTTCAATTTGACAAAGCAAGTAAGGGCAATTCATTCTTTCCAAATGCTGAACAAAATACCTTTTGTGAAAGGAAGTGCACGCTTGATCTCTAACATTTCTATTTCCTCTTTTGACTCACTGAACAGAAGTTTGTTTGTGCAACTAAATATCTGTGATAAGATAGCAGATTATATAAAAACATATTTATTTTTCTCTAGACCTAGTACTTGCTTTTCAACAAAAGCATCTGTGTTTACACTGAAAAAAAAACATGTACATAATCATTTGAACTGGCTCAAAATAACCTTAGGGTGATGTTTGTGTTGAATTATTGTAATAGAGACATTGTGGTACTGACCCTAAATGCTGGAGTTATTTCTATGAAGAATAGGAGTGTTTCTATGGAAAGTTAATTCACAACATTAAGTACTCTGGTAAATGACATTGAAATCTAGCATGTTGCTGGTTAGTTATCGTGCAATTTTTTATAATGCCTCTGAATTATCAAAGCAATATTAAATTGAATGCACTGTGGAAGAGTTTGTGATACTAGTTGAATGTTTATACCGTGCATCTCTGCTATTAAATAAAGGTTTTAAGGCTAAGGGGAAAAGGAAGCATACATGCTTGCTAGTAAGGGACAGGGGTGTCTGTAGTTGAGTTTTCTGTTGACTTGTGAGCTTTCTGATAGCTGAAGAGGGTGCTGATGCATCTGCATTATTCAAATGTCAGAAGAGAAGCAAACATAAAGGAGGAAAGCATATATTGAAAAGAAACAAAGTACTTTGTAGTGAATTGGTGTATCTGCTGTTCTTAAGTAATCTAGCAAAATATCCTCAATTTTATTTTTCACCGATTTTAGGGAGCAGTTGTGTAGTGTTCCTCAATATGTATCATTAAAGTACACTTCAGTGGAGAATTGATAAAGTCTAGGTTCATATATTGTACATCAGCAGAGTTTGGCGGGCTGATTTTTATTGTAAAGTTGATGTATAGAGGGGTTACAATTACATAGTCAATCATGAGTACATTTCACTTTGAATAGTGTTACCTATCCCTCATTCTCTCCCAGTTTTTCCCCGTCCTAGCTTCCCTCCCCTAATTGTAGAGTTCATTTAATAATCTCTAGACTATACTTCTTCCTGAGGGCAAAGTTGTGGATTAAAATTGTGTCATTTAAAGGTTGTTTGTGTACTTTACAAACAAAACAAGGAAGTGATAAGAAGACCATCTTCAGGGTCCAGTAATCTGGAAGGAATCCAAGTCCCAGAGAAGTTGTATGACAGCACAATCCCATGACTGACTTTTTGGTGACCCCCCAAAAGTGAATTTTTCATTAGGATTCAAATCTATTCAAAATAGCCTTTATTAGCTTAAAAATTTTGTTGCTTATTCAAGCTGTTTAAAAGTTAAAAGTCTATGACACTTTTCAGGAAATATTGTCAAAATTAATACAGTTCTGGAATGGATTATCACAATGGTGGACATAGATTTGAAATATTAATGGAACTCAGAAGAGTTAGGCTAGAGTAGAGACTGGCTTAAGAGAAGATATTGACTTGTCAGTTGTGACTCTAACTATGGTAACTGGATGGCCTATGAGCAGAACAGGAAGCAGTGCATCCTGTTTGGAAGACAGGTTCTAACAGGAAATGACTGTCAAGCATTAGAGTTGTTCCTGTGTGTTGAGGGGACTGCTGAGTAAGGCAAAGGTATCCTCTCATTATAAGTCAATTTCATGATCGAAGTTTTGGACATCTCTGGAAATCAGATTTCCCCTTTCCCCCACCTGAATTTTGCTGTGGTTACTCAGTTGTGAGTTGAATAACTTTTCTAAACAAGCTCTATAAGGTCTGTTTTCTTTGTCATGTGTGGCCACGTCTTAAGTAGTTTACTAGTCAGGTAATGAATGAATAGAGATTTCCTTAGATACTGAGGAACCAGCAAGTCTCCCCACCTTGGCCAAGGTTGCACAGAACCTCAAGGGCATCCTGAGGTGGAAGGCCTTCCCAGGTCTTATGGGCACAATCCTGGGTATATGTGTAAATTTCTAGATCCTCTCACAAATATGTTAGAGAGCTTTGGCAATCCCTCCCAGGAACTTACTCCCAGCTTCTTTTTAAGCTTTTTGGTTAGTGCTACAGTGTGCAACTATAATTTAATTCCTGGACTAGCATCAATGATCAGCAGTTGTTTCTAATTGTCTTTGGTAAACACTAGCAGGGGAGAAGACTGTTCCAATGGTTGGGCTCCAACTCAGGTCACACAAAGACAGCCTTGTAAGTGGGGTCTTCCAGGGAACTACCAGACTTGACAAATGATGTTAATTCTCACAGGGAATGGGGCTTTGAAGGAGCTCCAACCCCATTCTATGTGGTGTGACCAGTTTTCAGAATGATTTGCAGACTGCTGTTTTTCATGACTCCTGCAGAGGAAGGGAAAAGGAACAGGGCACATTCAAATGTAACAAAGCTTACTATTTTCCCCAAAGATCCAGGTGCTTTTCTTGAATAAATGCTTCTCAGATTGCTACAAATATTGGCTTATATCCAGAGTTGTGAAAAATTTGAGTGTGACCACTTTTGTTTTTGGCTATAGCTTCGTTGTTTACATATAGGAGAAACTGTTCAGACTCCTATGTTTCTTTTGTTGATATCACTGAAGAAGTGTTGTAAAACTTACTTTTCCAAGAGAAAAAGCTGAACACACTGATTTCAATGATCCATTTTCACTCCACAGCATTTAGTGTTAGCGAATATATTTAATTCACAAACTGTTCTGTGGTATATAATTACCATATCTTCAAAAAATCAAATGTGATTGTTTAAAAATATTGCTTTTTCCACTATGTCAAAATACAAGGCCTAACAAATTATACTTGATTCTTAATTTCTATTTTACTCACAGTTTTAAAAAATACCTCTTCCACATGGTTTCTCAGCTTTAAATGAATTAGTTGAAAAAGATGGGAGATTTTATACCATTTCTTTTAAAGAACTATATGGGTAAAATTTAAGATGCAGAGACTATTGTAAAGGGCCAGTTGAAATGATACTGGACTGAAAGCATTTCATAGTGTGCAATTCTAAGAACCATTTGCAGATACATTTCTTACATTGTTGACCTTTTCTATGCTGCCCATTATAAAACACTAGGGTTCTATAAACTTGGGCTTCCTTTCCTAAAATCCAATCCGCTTGATATGTAGACATTAAATGTCCTTCTTCCTGTTGTCCTGGGAACCTGAGGAACTGACATGTTCTCTGCTGCTTGTCATTGTTATGAGTAATGGCAACATCCATTCTTCCTCCAGTGTCTATTGAATTGTGGCAGGCTAATTTGTTAGCTTCTAAGTAGAGCATAATCTCAGTCTTGAAAAGTTCTTGAAATGTATTAGAAACTGTCTTAGATTTTCACCTTAATTTATAGTTAAATTCCCTTTAGAAGAGTGAATTGCATCTATCTATCTATCTATCTATCTATCTATCTATCTATCTATCTATCTATCTATCTATCTATATTCATCTGTCTGTTTGTCTGTCTATTTTACTGGAAATTATCCACCAGTATTAGTTACATGAGATGCTGGTTACTGCAGTCTGTTCAAGATAATAATTTACTTTGAAAAAATTTGGAGCAGTCTAGCAGGCCAGCAATCTCTGGCTTATGCCAATACTGTTGTAATGCCTTTTGGGTCATCCTCTCCTCAATCCATTTACATATTATTCATGACTGCTTTCCTATTACAGTGGCAAAAGCAGATAGTTACAGAGAAGATCATGAACTGTAAAGCCTGAAATATTTGCTTTCTGACCTTTGTACATACATTCCACATGGTTTCTCAGCTTTAAATGAATTAGTTGAAAAAGATGGGAGATTTTATACCATTTATACCATTTTATACCATTTCCCAACCCCTTCTTCTAGACACTGGGTTGTATGAATGGATTTCAATTTTTGGATGGAAAACAAGTGATAGCCTGGTCATGATTAAGCAAGTAGGCTTTTGTTCCCCCAATAGCTTTTCCTACTGGTAGTCATTGTGTTGAGCTTTATCATTTTAATTAACTAATTCTAGTTGTTTTCACTATTTTTGACTTATCCAAATGACTATGTTATTTCTTTTACAGGGTTGTGGGAAGAAAATGTATTCTTTCTTGAGAGGAACCAAACAGTTACAAGTACTAAGGTTTCTGGGGATCTCCATTGGAGTGACACAAATCCTTGCCATGATTCTCACCATAACTCTGCTCTGGGCTCTGTATTATGACAGAAGGGAGCCTGGTACAGACCAAATGATGTCCCTGAAGACTGACACTTCTCAACACCTGTCATGCCACTCAGTAGAACTATTGAAACCAAGCCTTTCCAGGATCTTTGAACATACATCAGTGGCAAACAGCTTTAATACACATTTTGAGATGGAGGAATTATGAAGAAAGGCAAGGAAGGAAATCACACACTTTTGTCATTGGACTTGAGTTTTTGAGTACATTATATGTCTCAGAAAATTGTGGACATAAAGATATTTCCATAAAAGAAAAAACCAGGAAAACTTATACATGACCACCTGGATAATACTTGGTGCCTTTTATAATGCTAAGTAAGGACAGTTCTGATACTCCTGATATTTCCTTCTTATCCTTTATAAGATTTTCTGAGCCTATTGATGCTTCACAACAGCTTGGATTAATCAGCATTTTTACAACCATGTGAATGATGAATTTGGAGCTACCATAAAGTATGATTTACCTTCATCTGCTAGTATGTAAATTATCAATTAACTACTAACATAGAAATTTAGACATTACTAATGACTTTTATTACTTGGTAATATATTATTTTGAAGGTGACTAGATAATCCAAGATATGGAAGGAAACTTTCAAGATTAGTGACTACCTAAATGTGATTTTGTTGGTAACAAAAAATTTCTCACAATTTAAAATAGCAAACTAACACATTGCCTTAAACTGATCAGGGATACATATGTATATAACTCTGTGATAAGTCTGTATAATTCAGTAGATTTCAGTTGTTATAATGTTAAGAATAAGAATTGTGGAAAGGATAAATTTATTCATTATAGCACTATTCTTTTTAGCCTTTCTTGATAAGAGAGTTTTTAAATTCTGTCTTGAGTCTATATTATATTCATACCTGTTAATTTAAATGCTTAACCACTAATTTTGAAAATTACCAGTATGATACGTGGGAATCATTGTAATTCTGCATGTAGTCTGCTCTCTAGGAAGTATTAACAAAAAATTTACATATAACATAGTTGTTCAGCAAAAATTTGGATGCTATTTTTCTCCCAAGTGAGGACACTTTTATGACAATAAGTGCTTTTTAAAAAGACCTTATATTTTTTTTCAAAAAAAGAGAATCTCCAAGATGATATTATTTTACAGAGAATAGTTTTCTTTTTCCAGAAAAGTGCTTTTGAGATCCATTCAAATAAGTGATAATTAAACTAGAGATTACCTTTGCTTTATTTCACTAATTACCAGGGCAGATTACACAGATTAATACATTTTTACAAAAGTAGAATATATTTATTTGAAATGGGAAAAGTGCATTTTACTGTATTTTGTTTGTATTATGTTTATTTCTCAGATTATAGAAAGAAAATCTTAAAACAAGTGTCAATAAATATTTTATAGAGAGTTAATATTCGGTTTATGCCTACTTTTTACACATTAAAAGTACCTTTACTACTGAAAAGATTAGCAAGAGGGGAAGTAAGAAAGAATGGCTTAAAAAGGATTAATTTCTGAACTCTGGAACTAATCTGTATAAGTATGTTAGCTTCACTGAAAACAACAACAACAATAAACATTGTTTATTTCTCAATCTTGCTTTTTTAAAGCTAGAAATAATATAGTTTGATATAATTCAAAAACGTGCCAGCTGAGTGCTGTGGTTCACACTTGTCAGCCTTCTACTCAAGACACTGAAATCCAGAGGATCATGGTTTAAAGCCAGCCAATGTAGAAAATTCTGTGGTACTCCATTTTTTAAATAACCAACAAAAAGATTAAAATCAGAGTTGGAAGCATGGCTCAAGGGTTCGAATACTAGCTAAGCAAGCAAGCAAAGCAAGTGTGAGACTGCCAAAGGCCCCAAATGGCCGTATATGCTAATTTATCTTCGTAAGATTTTGATATCCTAGGTTTTACAGTTATTATTAAATGACTCTAGTTGGATATGGTAGTATATATTTGCACTCCCAGCTAGTTAGGAGACTGAGGCAGCAGAATCGCTTGAATGCATGAAGTATAGGCCAATCTGGGTAAGATACAGCAAGAGTCCTTGCTATAAAATTGAGAGAAAAAGAGAAAGAGAGATAGAGAGAAGGAAGAGAAGGAGGTATGAAAGAGGAGGAGGAAGGGAGTGAGGGAGAAGGAAAGGAAAAGAGAATGAATCTTAGGAATACAACATTTGAAATTAACTGCCAAATTTAATATCTTTCATGAATTCAAATTTTAATGAATTGAGCAATTGTATGATCAATTAGAAACAAAAGAATCCCCCTTTATAATTTTCTTAATAGTCTAGCAAACATAATATCACATGCTTTATGCAAGCAGCTGATATAGCTCTGTTTCAATAGAAGGGCTTAGACAATGGTGAAATTTTGTTTTAATGTATCTCATAGTTATTGAATGATCAAGCTTATATTGAGTTTAGAAAAAAATCCTCAAATTATAAAAGCTGATTTCCACATTTTTTAGACTACATATTTTTGATATAATACCTGGCTTACTACTCTCTAGAATAGTCTCCATAAATTTAAAGAGTCAGCTTATATATAACAAATACATTTGCTTAATGGGAACAAATGACATTTATAGCAGTGGTCCACAAAGGCCTCTTCTAGTAGCAGTGCACCTGGGATAATAAAACTGCAAGGAACTTTAAGAAGTATATTTAATGCCCTAAAGCTGAGGGAGCTGTCTAGTTGGGTACTGTGCAAACAAAATTGTTAACTATTTCTTTGGGAATTTTTAAAAAGCTTTCTTTGTTTAAAAAAATCTTGATTTTTCAAGTCAATTTTTTAGAAAAAGATTATTTTTAGACTGATTAGAAGGTAATTCAAAGTGCCCTGGAGACACAGAGATGGCAATTAGACATGATGTCTGTTCATAAACCCTGTAAAATCTAAGTGAGAGATGCCTGGGATAACCACAGGGAAAAGAAATAAAGGACGTTGAGGAGTAGGGCCAAACTCAGGAAGAAGAGAGTGAGGAAAGTGGGAATAAGAAGTTACATCAAGGAAATGCACAGTCAGGAAGGAGCAGTGGGGGTGGGCTCATGGAAAACATTCTGTAAGGCCATGACCCATGGCTCTGAAGTTAAAACAGTATGCATTATTATTTGGGGTCCATGGTCTACAGTTCAGTGTGGTTAGATAGAACACATCAGATTTAGAACAAACACCATGGGAAATGGCATAGGTAATATTTGAGATAGGGGTATCATTCAGTAGGTTCCAAGAAGAGCCCTTGAAATGTCTTTGGAAAATAATAAGCCATATGTCAGAAACTTCATAGTATTCGTCAAATGAGAATTGAAACAGAGAGACAGGTGAAGACATGGTTAAAGATTCTCTGGGGTCAAGCTGTCATTTACCAGCACCTAGGTAAATGGAGCATCCTGGAGCCATACAACTATGCAAACTCAAGGGGTGGGAGGATCAAGACTCAGGAGTGATCCTTCTATGCTCTTGGAGAAGAATGAAGATTTGCACAGGACAATGAAAGTCAAGAAACCATCCGTATAAAACAGATTATAGCAATTCTTTCCCCAAACTGACAGCAGATTGATCTTGGGGAGCATGAAAAATGTAAAAGAACTGACACCTTGTACACTGGCAATAGTATTAACCCAGAGAGAAGGCTGGAAGGGACTGAGCATGTGGGAGGGAAATTGATTTGGTCTGGGACACACTGAGTTGAAGAAGCCTGCAGGACATGCAGATGGAGGTGTCCACAGGCAGCTGTAAATCCCAGTTTGGCACGCAGGAGAATTCAATGGAGAGCCTGAGAAGGTTTATGCATTGCTTTTCCATCTCACAAAGCCTGACAGAAAATGGGCTGAGAACCAGATCTCATATGAAGAGAATCTTAAGCTACTAGAACTTCTTTTTGTCGGAACTCCCTTTCCTACTTATGAGTCAAAGAAGGTGAAGAAATAAGAAATGAAAATCTATTGACTTTTCTTTGGCAGAATGAGCATACTGTCTTTTAGAAGTACTTCTCACTGCCATGTTGTTCACCTTAACCCTGCCCAACCCCTTCTTCAGCCCAAGTTTGAAAATGTACTTCCCTTTCCTAGGAACTGAATTATTATTTCCTCACATCCAAGTGGATCTTAGAAACACATATGGGAAAACCTGTGATATTATCTTGAAAGCTCACTTCTTTCTATTTTAATCTACTGATGGCTGTTGAACCTTCCTACATTCATAGAGACTACCAGGAGTCAGGCATCAGATGCAAGTTGTATACAAGTTGCTTTATAGGTATCTTCTTTGCTCTGCATAGCTCTTTGAAATTTGTAGGCAATAGCAGTACCATTTTACAAGCAGAAGAATGATGCAGAGGCTGTTTAGTGAGTACATTGCAGCGCTCCCCTTCTCCTCCCCCTCCCCCCCCCCATCCCGCCCCTCACAACCTCCTGCGCACACACACTTGGAGCATGGCATCATCATCATCAGCCTGTAGTGTGGCTTTGCTGATTCTTTACAACAGAAAGCAAGTATTTTTTTTCGTGTCAATCAATATCTCTGGGCATAATGGCTCTCCAAAATCTACTCCTCCTTCCAGAATTACATTTTCTTCTTCCTACTCTTCCCAGAACAAGTCCAAATTACCTAAAGCTTTGATTGAAGCCATAGATTGCTCTCTCTTCTGACTTCCTCTGGTTCTTTTCACTGATTAATCTAGGCATGTGCACAGAGCCAAATTAATTTCTTTAGTCAACCTCATTGAGGGAATACATGCGCATAATACATCAATTTTACGTTTACAGGTAATATGTCCTATGTATTTGTACGTATATATATATATATATATATATGTACATGCTCATATAACCATGACCACACTCAATATATAGGACAATTTTGCTATCTCAAAATACCATTGCCTCTTATGTAAATCCTGCAATCCCCATTCATAGCCTCTGTTAGCAAAGATATGCTAAATACCAATCGAATGAGCTCATGTAAAATACAATTCTTTTCCTGTCACTTTCTTGCAAGCATTTGCAAGGACTCTCTGTTCAATGCAACACATACCTTTCCAAAACATTTGTGTGTATGTCATATATACAGCACTTTGGACTAAGTGAAGTTCAGAGGCCAAATCTTGCTAGGCCATAATCAAGCAGTAGCCCAACATGTAGAACGCAGCTTCATTGTTCAACCCTTCAACATACAATGGAATAAGTAAAATAGAAGTAACTTTATATTTCCTAAAGCACACATGTGAGTAGCCCAGAGTTTGGTACCCTGAAGCACTCACTGCTTTTCTCCTGCTTTTCTGCTATTGTACTACGTTGTTTCTCAGCTCACATCTTTACTTCTTCATTTCATTCAGCAGGCTAGATAAAGAGGCAGGTTTAAGAGAAGGAAGCAGACCTCTACCCTTGAAGGACATACCCATAAATAGACTTCACTAGCACTCTGGTCACATGTCTAGTAGGAAGCCATCACATTCTTTCTTCTGGCTATCTATTCATCTAGCAAAACCATGTCATTGTATGACCATAGACTGAGGAGAAAATGTGCATTGGCATCAATTAGCAAGTCTCTTCTTCACTTCTGTGTAACTGTGGAATAATATCTTCCTTGGAAACACATTTTCCCAAACAAAAACCCCAATACTTTCTAGCTAGCTGGTCAACCATGGTCTGCTCATTGCTTCTAAAATCCCATGAGCCCTTTGCTTTATTGATTTGACTCCTCTTGGCCTGACCTGGCAGAAACTCACTTCTAAAGATTGAATTTGTACTTGACTTTCAAATCCCAGCTCAGCAGCCACTTTCTACTAGAAGCTTCTTCCTCTGTCCACTGCAGCGCATAGCATTCCTTTCTCCTCTTAGCTCAGCATTTATTGTTTGCTATAATATCTCGTTTATCCTAGTATGGTCCTATCTTATAATGCTACTTTTCATTCGTACTGTTTTTTTTTTTTTTGCTGTATATCTGATTTCTCTTGAGAGTAAATATTTTGTATCAGTATTTTCCACTCAGCATTTTGAATAAGCCTTAGCAATATTCATTATGTATGAGTTGTCTATTTATTCCCTGTGTATATTAATTAATATATGCATGAGCATGAACTAGTTAAATGAATCAAAAACTATTGTCCAAAACTATTCCAATAAGGAACAACCACTGTAAAGGAAGCTATCTATTTTCCTTGGTTGGGACAAAGGACATTAAGTTATCATGGGCTAAGTACTGTAAATGGATGAAGACTGGATCTGCAGCATACCTTTGGAGCTCAGTCCAGTCTTATAAATGTTTGAATGAGTTGTCAAATTATATTTGTGGGTTAATAATATAATAGTGTCTTAAATTTATAAATTGCTTTTATAGCTAACCTCAGATCCCTGAGCTTTCAATATACATTGGGGTGAGTAGTAATGTGTAGAGTACTACCAGAGTGCCTGTCTCCCAGAAAATCCCTGGAGGGTGTAAAATGGGAGATTGTTACTAACTGT